GTGTGTGCTGGGCTTGACGCAGGGGCACCTGGAGTTTAAAGTGCTGTTTTGGTTGGGTTTTTTTAAAATAGGTAAGCATCCCTAGTGGCTAAATATAACTAAAAGCAGCTGTTACTTTGGTTCCTTTGGGCAATGCACAGCTCCTGGCTGGCCTTCTGAGTTCTCTGAAGACATCTAGAACAACTAGCCTTATCAAAGTTAACATGCATGTATATTAATAAGATACCTTTGTGATTTATCGGGGAGAAAATAAACCTCTTTCTTAACAAACTCTTAGATGCAGATTTCTTCATGCAGTGTCAGTCACATGGTACATATTCTAGAACAGATAGCTTCTTGCCACTGCTGCTTTTCAGCGGTATTTTTCACTCGCGCACCAGCCAGAGAGTAGCTGGGCAATTAACATGTGATCCAATTTGAGTTACTGTGCAATTTTCAGCTCGCTCATCCTGCCAACCTGTAGTGTCACTGGATGAAATGGAGTGGTTGGGAGCTATCACAAGATTGTGGTGAGCTTCAGTGTCTCATAAGGAATTGTGCAATTACTGAGCGTCAGTCATACCACTATGTATCTGACCCTATCACTTAATAATTAAGATGACAGATGGAAAGGGAAACTGGGAATTTTGAAAGACATGGATTTGGTTTTGCATTTTATATGCAGTTAACTTCATTTTAAAATCTATTAATCCCCACAATTAAGAACTGAATTGTCACTTCATACAGCTATTTCTACATCCCTTCCTCAGAAGAGACCAGACTTACCTCAGGAAATGGGAATTGTCTTTACCATTCAGTTTTTATTAGGAAGTTGAATATCAAAAAGCATTGAGGTCCTGATCCACAGTCCATGGAAGTTAACAGGACCATTTCCATGGTCTACCATGGGGCTTAGATCCAGGTCTTACTCCTATACCAGTGGTCACCAACCAGTGGATCTCGATCCACTAGTAGATCTCAGAGCCTCTTGGAGTCGATCCAAGCCTGGGGTGGGAGGCTGAGTGCCCGTGTGCATGCACACACACGCGCCCCCGCCCAGCAGGTCAGTCCATGGGGGAGGGGAGGGGCAGGGGCTAGATCGAGGCCCCCGTGGTGAGGGACAGTACCGCAGTGGCAGGAGCAAGGGTAAGTTGAGTGGAGCCCCGGCCGGGTGGGACGCACCTGCTGGGGAGATGCGACTCCAAATAATTTTTTCTCCCTCTGCCTTGATCTGTGCCCACCTCCCCCCACCCCACACTTACCTCCTGTTCAGGGGGGAGGGGTGGTGGCAGCAGCACATGGTAGATCTTGGGTTGCTTTTAAATGCCAAAGGTGATCTCCTACTTAAAAAGGTTGGAGACCACTGCTCTATGATCAACTATATTTAGCACCTGGCTTAGAAAACCCAGTAGTTCCACATGAAATACTAGCACATGATCCTTGGTTTGCAAAGTAATTTACACTGGCAAAGGCTTGTTTTTATACTGAGCCCCTCTGACAGGTATGGAGATCTGACCCCATGTATTACTTGTCTGGGGCCCAAGTTTGTTGAATAGTTCCAAGTTTCCTCAGACCCAGACTAGAAAGAGAGACAATTTATTAGATTTTTTTAAAAGTGGAAGAAAGAAACCAAACCAGGAAGTGCCATTCTAAGTTGATGCTTTTTAATTGTTAATCTCCTTAAAAACAAAATAATTAAAAAAAAAATTAAGACAGTGCTGTATTTTTTTTCTGTACAACCATATGAAAACAATAAAATGTGTACATTATGTCAAAATACTCAACTAACAGTAGGGGTTTAGGTTGTAGCCGTGTTGGTCTAAGGATATAGGCAGACAAGGTTCCTTGGGTGAATTTGATATCTTGATATCCAATTTGGGTTGGTCTAATAAAAGATATCAAATTCACCCAAGGAACCTTGTCCAACTAACAGTAGCCCTTATTTGAAATACATCAACATTTCCCTTTTTAAATGGGCCCCAACTAGAAGGGGAAAAACAGCCAGGGAACCTAATTGTAACTAATCAGAACACTGAAATCAGAAAAGTGGATTATTTTGGATAAGCAACACCAACAATAAATATTGAATGGATGCAGGAAGCACAATGAGACAGTATAAATAAACAAGTTTTAGTCCTAGATCATGAGAATTATAGTACACAGAGCATCAGTTTTTATATGCAAGAAAAATACACTTTATTCAAGTCATTTTATTGAGGAGGCAATCTCCAAGATGATAAAGCATTACCTGGACTCCTATTCCTTCAAGAGAGAAATCCTGCCCTAGTCATTTACACTGGAACAGTGACCAATCTTAATTTTAATTAGCTTTTTCATGAAGTGAAATGGAATTTGCCTGCCCTCCTCAGGGAGTTTCCATTGGCTTCAAACAGAAGGTGATTCTAACAGAAAATGTGATTGGTATCGTCATTCAGGATTCACCCAGGAATCTCATCTGCTGTATTTTTCTTCCCATAATTAGAGAACTTCACCTCTCTCCTGATAAGAGCAGACATTTGCTTTGGAAATCATAATTCACAAAAGTGCTTGCGTGGATTTTGTTTCTTTCTTTGTTTAATAGTTAGGAATGGAAATATTTACTCTATTTTTTCTTACAATGAAAGTAAGTCATACCCAAGGTCCAGCCTATAAATCATCAGCGTTTAGTCAGATATAGGTAGGTGCAGCTACTATTAGTTTACTGATATTCTGCTGCCATGTAAGACAGGTGAACCATCCCACAGCAGACAGAGTGCAAGAGAAATCTTCTGTACTATTTAAACCAGACACTTAAATCCAAGGGGAACTTTCTCAGTCCTGACAACTTTTTGGGGTTATCCTGGGAATAATGAATGCTGACCACCTAGGTATTTCAGGTCATTCTTGACCAGTAGCACATCAAAGAAGAATCCCATTTAAGTGATTACTAGCCAACTGCCCATCAAGAATGACCGGGGGGGAAGCGCTTCCCGGGGGGGGGAGGGGGGGGCACGGAGGGGGAGAAGTTTACCCCACAGTCCCCTCTGTCCACTCCCGCCAGCACCCCGTGCCACCACCACCTCCAGCATCGCTGGCCTTGCTACCCCCCCAGGGCCCTGCTCCTCGGGGGCAGTGGAGCGCTGCCATGATGGTGGGGACGGAGCAGGGGGGTGAGGCCAGTGGCACTGGCTTTGCACCCCCAATCCATGCCCTCCATCATGGCAGCACTCCGCACTCTGACTGGTTGTTTCACTAATCAATCGGAGTACTCCAAGAGTGTTATGGACAGACAGACAGACAAAGCCCTTTATTATATAAGACTACTAAAAGAAAAAGAAATGAAGTGTAAAGTACAGGTCCCTCTTTTCTAGTGTTCCTTTTGGAACTCCTTCCATTTGGTCCATGTTGCCAAGTGAAGTGATAAAGTAGCTGCATTTGGTTGTTACCTGACAAGAGTTTGGAAAAGGTAAAAATAAGACCCACTGTTGCAAATCAAATGCAATTTCTATTTCAGGGAGAATCTGGCAGAAGAATTTATTTGAATAATACTAAAGCATTTCAGAGAAGGGGGAAAATGCAATAAACAAATGGCTGCTCTGAATAATGGACAAACACTGTTGCAGTTCTCCCTTCAGTTTTACTTAAATGACATGCTTCTCATTGCTGGTACACAGTTGTGGACCCAAAGTCGATAGAATTCTTTAACTAACAGTGGACTCTACCAGGTGGCCAAGTTTCCTACGTGTTTATCTTAATGCCACAAACATTTCTAAACTTTGCATGTGTTTTTGTCATTACTACCACAAAAACTGGTTTAAAAATGCAGCAGAATCCCAAAGACCCTGTTCATTAACCCTTCATAAGATTTTTAACTACTTAATAGTTATTGTATAGTACGTTCAGAAACTTCATACCTCTTATGCAATGCAACCAGTGCACTGGATCCCAAGAACAAATGCCCACCTGCCCACCCCATCCCCACAGTCCTACCAGAACAAGTAGCTAGAAATAAATCCTTCATCAATAACGCCTTCATAATTCAACATTCATGTACCAGGAAAATAAATCCAAATTAGTCCTCAACTTGTAAAATTAACAGGTAAATTATTATTATTTTTTAAATCAGTTAAAACAGCAGCAGCATATTGCAAACATAAAAAACAATTAAATTATAACTTTGAGATATACACAGATAAAAACAGATCTCAGTTTTGACTGGATAAAACAACAGATTTTAGAACCTGGTATATACAGTAGACTTTTGTGCATTTACTTTTGGTGAAGAGAGTAAAGCCAAGGAACCTATTTGGGAGTACTTTGACACTTAAATTCTCAGATTGAAACTTTCACAGATTTATATATTTAAAGGAAAACAACAACAATGAGACACCAACCTGAGTAAAACTCTATTAAAATAGAGCCATCATTATTCAGTTATGTATTGCACCTTTAAATAAATCATTTTAGACTGTATAAAAACAGAATCAGCCAGAAATAGGAGATTTTGCTCCCCTTCTCTCTCTCTCTCTCTCTCTCACATGCGCGCGCACATGCGCACACACACACACACTCTGTAGTTAAAGCTCAGAGTGACACACCACCCTCCTCTTCCCCTAGCTGAGGCACTGTGATGATAAGGCCTTGGAGGGTTGTGGTGAAAGGACAGATCACCACTAAAAAGTAGGAGAGTGTTACTACAATTAAAAGCTTGATATTAGCCTTATTTAAAAATCTATATGCAATCTAAGAGTTTCAGTACAAAAATATAGATCTCTGATGGTTTTTGTTTACAGAGTCTTGACTAGAAAAGGCAGAATTTCTATATATAAAAACATCCATTTGTAGATGTTTGTACTCCTTTCTGTTTTTTAAATAAAAAGGAATGCTAAGAACAAATCAAAGATGCATATGCTCATAGCTAAATAACCAGATACAGTAGATAGAATATGTTCCTGACATTTATAATTAAATATATTAACAGTCTGGTGTCTGTATATGAAAATCATATAAAACTGTAATTAAAAAAGAGCCTGTGTCATTTATTACCTTTAATATTTTATATCTAGTTCATCATTCATCCTGCAATACTACATCACTTACAAGTAGACTGAAGTTCCCACGTGAAAACAAAATTCCTCTGTTAATTGTAATAACAGTTTCTGCAACTCCCACTAGCATTTTTACATGGCATCTTCAAATTAGTCACACACAAAACTGTACAAAACCATGTACAACAGTGCATTTCCCTTTTCTCTGTGAAGGGAAGAATGGCCTCCTGGTAACTCATCTTCCTGTTTGGTTAGGCACAGTAGCCATTTGCCTTCCCAAAATTGGGCGCTGGTGCAAGATTTTCATAGATTGCCATTGCTGTTGTGTTTTGGTAGATAAGATCCACTTTTTTGTCCCTCTGGGATTTAATAATGTCCAAAACACATTGGTTTAGGAAGACATACTGCTCCTAAGGAAAAGAAAAATGAAGGACATCATAGACTTTAGCAAGCACCTTGCTCCAGCAAAGCCACAGCTCATGATAATAGAAGGGAACCTTTTTGATATGGTGAGAAATAACAGTAGAAGCATAATCTTAGATGACTTTACTTGTTCAAGATTTAGAAGCAATCCTAAAAGTAAACATAAGAACCATACTTGATCCAACCAATGGTCCACATAGCCCAACATCTTGTCTCTGAAAGCAGCAAGTAGTAGAAGTTTTAGAGAGAGTATGAACAGAACTAGACTAAAGTAATCCATCCCCTGGCGTACCTTCCCTGACATCAACCATCATTGATTTAGGGATGTCAGAGGATACAGCCCTAACCCCTATTTAATAAATCCCAATGTACATGACCTCCATGAATTTCTCTAATCCCTTTTTTGAACCTGGTTATTCCATCCACCTCAACAATGCCCTATGATCCCTTATGCAAGGGCCAGTGGTAGCTATGAGAGCTTTACTAAAAGCAAGAGAGGCAGATGGTAGAGGCCTGAATTAGTGATGCACCAAGGTATTCTCTGCCCCATCAGCGTTTCCATGGCGCTTTGACAGGTGCTCCTTTGTTGAACCACATAAAAAACAGAATTTAGAAACATTCTGGGCCCATCTACTACACATTTATTAATGCGCTTTTGCTACTGCACATTAAATTTAGTACCTCTAATGTGAGGTACTAAATAAATGCGCATCTGGCAGCCCTAATGTGCAGCAGCGAAAGTGCACAGGTTTTTAGTGACACTTAATATGGAGTAGCCTATTTTTACTGCGCATTACTGTATAAGCACAGTTTTTGACGTGATGCTTTAATGCACAGTAAAATGGGTTACTGTGCATTAAAATGCATGGGTAGACACACCCACTGAGTAGTAAGTAGAGAACACTTCCAGTGTGGAATGTATTTCTAAGATGTGGATTCATTATGCCTGTTACAGTTATTTTTAAGCATGTTACAGAAAGAGACATTTGCCTTACCTCTGTTTGTACCATTAGCGGCCGATGCATTCGAAGGTCATACACTACACCATACACGTCGGCAGTGTTCTCCATTTCTATTTGTTGGATCAGTCGGTCAATTGCAATAAAAGTACCTGTCCTTCCAACACCAGCACTAGAATAAAATCATTATGCATTAGGTGGATGAACAATAGCATTTTTATAGTATAGTATAATAGTGAATTTTGAGGTATATTCAATTTCCTTGTATAAAGAAGCAGTGAGATGAATCTAGGGAATTATGATAAGAATTCTCTTTATACCTGCAGTGTACCAGAGTAGGAGATTCTGGGGGATTTTGCCTTGCGTATTCCTCAACAAGATGTCTAAAGCTGATGAGAAGTTCCGTAGTCTCTGGAACACCGTGATCAGGCCAGGCAGTGAAATGGAACTGGCGTACACAGTGACTGTCTGTCTCGTTATTCTAGAAGAACATACATTAAAAGGGAAATTAGGCCTCAATGTAGAAAAACATTCCTCCTAGCTTAATACTATGAAAGTTACCTTCTATGAATGGGCAGGATTGCCAACTGTCCTTAAATTTATATAAAAATCAAGGCTAAAACCACCTGTCCATAAAATCCATAAAAAAATGAGCAGTCTGTAAAAAAATCAAAGCCAACAGTCTGATTAAAGCTGTGTCATCAAGAGCAGAGAATTCCTACCTGGTGTCTGAGCAGGAGCACAGCACCCTGAAGTGAGCTCTTTTTAGGGCTAGGGCTTTGTAGTCCACAGAGGTCTCCACAGCTCCCTCCTCCTGCCCTAGCCACATGCTACTACTGCTGCTGCATCCCATCTGTCTATAATACTGCTGGGGTGCAGGTAGGCTGCCGTAGGCAGACAAGAATCTTTCTTTGGGGACCTGTGCCAGGACAGGAAGAGCAGGACTGGCAGGGAAGGGGGTGGGGTGCAGAACGGTGTGGGCTGTGGTTGGGGGAGATCAGGGTATGGGGGTGAGTAGATGAGCCCTGAGGTGTAAAACCACTGGTGAAAGTCAGAACTGGGCACTACTTTAAACAAACATTATTCAAATTTCACCCCTCGTTCCCTGAAAGCCAAGGAAACTGATTGGCCCAACAAAGCTATATTTCAAATCAGGTTCTTTTTTGCCTTTTACTTTTTCCTCTGGTCTCGTTCGTAGCATTTGA